AGATTGCGTAGTCGAGCGTCCTAACCACCTGGCCATGCCGGGCGTAACACTCTTATGGTAAGAGGTGTGTTTAGTAATCGCTACTCATTGTACACGAAGTTTACGACGTCAACTGAAAATCCAATTCTGAAAATGGATGGATTCTCAGCATGGTCATAATATTCACTATAAATATTCTCTACTGTTTACATACAAATAAAGGTCAAGTCTTCTGACTTAGAAGAACATTTTTCTATAGCTCGAACAGTGATTTATGCAGAAATTCAATAATAGTTTAAACAATAATTGAGGCTTAGAATGTTGTTCAACGACTTATTAAACGATTTTTTCTTCTAACCATCTATGACGCAAAAATATTTAATTGAATTCCTAACTATCTGCTTGATTTATATACAGAATATTAATGTTTTTTTAAAGTAATAATTTCAAAACCATGTCTTATCCATTTACTTTGTAGGTTTTACATTTTTCACAATTATAAAAACTATGTACTATTAATATTTGTATTTAAGGTAAGGTTACTAATGTTAAATGCTATGGTCCCTGATCTTCAACTATAGACCAGAGGGAATGAAGGCAGTCAACAGCCCCCTAACACCCATACTAAGGGGTTGACTGTCACACTTATAATGCACCCTTAACTTAAATCGAAGAGAATATTTTGTGAAATCACATGCATTATAAACTAGCTGATCAGTTCCGATATCCAGTCATACCACTGGTCCAAATCCAATCCATGTTCCAACAAGATTAACTGGTAATACTTCACTTGTTTTTCATAGAGCTTTTCTGCCCCACCTTGCTGTTTCCAAGATGAAATTTTGAATTCTATGTTGTCTTCCTCAATAGGGAACACAAAAATGTCAATTACACTGTCTCAACCCATTTAAGTGTTATAAATGTTTACTTCTATTAGTATAGAAGCTGTCAAAATAAAAAAAAGCTTTAAAGTTATATAATAGTGTAAATATATATGTTGTTGTTGGGCTTAGGATTCTTCTAAAGTAGGTGTCTGTGACTTGTTAGCGATAAATTCAACGATGAATAAACAGCACGCACTTCACTTGTTTTCAAAATAATATATATATTCAGAACAAGTTAACGTACGTACAATACATTATTCAACACTATAGTAATTAGGGACATATCATAAATACTATATCCTCGCTCCCCAGTGGCATGTCTGCGGACTTACAACGCTGGAATCCGGGTTTCGATACCCGTGGTGGGCAGAGCACAGATAGTCCATTGTGTAGCTTTGTGCTTAATTACAAACAAACAAAATTCTTTCAAATGGATATTAAAGTTCAAAAAACCTGTACGTTTTTGTACTAACTTTATCAAACACATTTTTTCAGATAATCATGAAATCTTCATAATCTGACAGACATAATTGACAAACTGTAATCTTATTAATGTCAGTCAGTTAGTAAACTTTTGTCACGGATGTTCGCAGTAATTCTCACTTACTACACACACTGTTCCATCCCCATCTTTTTTGCCTGCACCTATCTCTCTTTCTATCCACTTTTATCACAGATGTCTTTCTATATATAGATTTGAGCTTTTTTATTGCTTAGTGGTATGTCTGAGGGCTTATTATGATACAACGTAGGTTTTGATACCCGTGGTGGGCAGCACACATGCCCTAATGTATTGCATAGTGCTTAACAACAAAATAATTGTATATATTTTTGCACTTTAACACCTACCACACGAGCCAGCTAGGCTTCTTGATGTGAATACAAAACAAAGTTTTGGTTGTTTAGATTAGACAAAAAGTATATATATTTGGAAGTTTTTCATTTTTGAAACACAGAGTTCTAATTATACTTACTATCTGAAGTGTGGTGGCTACTGTAACAATACTTTAAAACAGTGGCTACGAATTTGAAAGCATTTTAGTCTTCAAGTTACTGTTAGTTGATCTTTACTGCTTACACAAGACACACGATTTTCACCATGCGTTTTAATAGATCAAACAATTTGTTATTAATGATATTATGTACAGTTTTATTTTCACCTAAGTACTCACTTTTACCACAGTTGTTTTCTAAACTAAACATGTACTTTTTTTTCTTTACTACAAGCAAAAATGAAACTGAAAACATTTTACCAACGCAAAAGTATTGAAATGAATACAGAATTATGTTCACTTGGAGGTTTCGAAATTGTAAATCAGTAGTCAAATAGTTTTTCAAAAGCCAACTTTAAAATATAAGAACTTAAAGGAATATTGATCAATTCTAAAATATGTATTTTTGTTAATTTATCTGTCTTATATAAATATCTAAAATGTTATAACATTATCAAGTGTAAAAATAATTTTTATAATTAACTATGTTGTATATAATACAGGGTGAGGGAAAAATCACCATACAGTTGCACAGTTTTATTAATACAAAGAAAACTGAAACATAAAAAAAGCAATTTCTCTTAACTACAAACATGAACTCAACACATTGATATGTTCTTCTTCAACTTAAGTGTTCGAACTGTCGACCATCTGTGTTAACACATGTCTGACATCTATCTTCATTGAGAGGCAAATGCAATTGTTTAAGGGTAATTTGTCATTGATGTTTGAAAGTGCCTGAAATACATACTTCCTAATGTCTTGTGCAGTACGTGGATTTTTGGCATAAGCAAAGTCTTTCCCAACTCCCTACAAGAAGAAATCCATGGGAGTTAAACAAGGGGATCGGGGGAGCCATTCCACATTTTCCCGAAGATCTATCCAACAAATCGGAAAAGTCTCATCAAGGAAACTGTACATCACAAAAGCGAAATGAGGTGCTGCTCTGTCCTGTTGTAGGTACAGTTCATCAAAGAAATAAGGAAAAAGACACCTGAGGTTGAACTCACTCTCCACATGTTAATGCCACATTGCTTCAGTTGTTGTTCAATGCCCACATGAGGATTACTGTTGTCCCAGTAGACAGAATTATGCCTATTCACGTGTCCATACAGATGGAATGTGGTTTAATCAGACCAAACAATGTGTTGCAGTAAAAGGGGTGGGGGCGGGGATTGTTTATTGGTTGCAGAACTGCAACCCGGCGATCTGGGTCATCTTCAATCAAACCATTTACTAAATGTGGGATGTACAGTCTAAAATACACACCCCTTAGCATTCACAACATTGATCTTTTCCCAATATCTAATTCAACAGAAGTACGGATGGCTTGATAATTTTGGACTCTGAGAAAAACTCTGCAATAAATGCGTTGTTCTCTTCAGTTGTCACTGTTATTGGTCTTCCACTACATGATGCATTCAAGATAGATCCAGTAACTTTGATTTTGCCTCGCAATCTGTAAATTGCCAAGCGCGTTGGCAGAAGAGTCTGATACATTTGCTACCAAGCTCGATATACTTCCTCTGCACTTTAAGTTGTCCAATACTGTTTCATCATAAATAGTCTCTCATCTTTCTTGCCACAATTATGGGTATTTAAGTCTGTAAAAAACTAATAACAATTAAGAAAAAGGCAACAAATACGACAAAGACAAAATTGAATCGAAACCTTTCAACAAGAGTAAAGTTATTTAAATATGTACAACTATATAGTGACTTTTGCCTCACCCTGTACACACATACAACGCTCAATTTCTTAATCGTAACATTTCACATGAAATACTAATAGTACACACACATGAATATTTTCAAAATTATCAAGACATTTCAATGATCTTGGTGTTATGTTACTGAAAACATTGCAAGCCATTGTATCTTTACTAGTATTAAAGGCCGTCAAAAATGACGGAAAACCATTGTAATATGATTAACTAAAATTATAGAATTTATCTAAAATTAATTTGTCTGTACCTACAAAATATATCTACTCTTCACTTATTTCATCAGTCTTGAAGTAATTCTTTAATCACCACATTTTTAGTAAAAACTACGCAGAAAAATGAAATGTTATCATGAACAACTGTACGTGCGCACTCTGGAAGAGACTTAAATAGCACTGTTGAGCCTTTAACTGTATTCTAGGTCAGGAAGTAGATAACATAGTGCAGATATTCTGACACAAATTTTCAACTCTTTCAACTGAACAAATGATAAAAGATATTTTGTAGTAATAAATGTTTATTTGTCTATGTTTTAAGGCCAAGTATGTAATATATGTTAAAATACCGAAAGAATATTTATTAATTAACATTTATTCAACAGTTAAAACTTTTTAAATACTGACTCTATAACGTTAGTAATAGTAGGCCTATATGTAATGTAATTTAATACATAAACGTAAGGTTTAGCTGAAACACTACTTGGTAAATTTTATTTTGCTTACAACTCAATGTCATAAAACTTCTGAATTAAACTATTTTACTGTTATATCACCGAAGTTATAAAAATAAAGAATAAAGATAAATCTTTCTAACAAATCAACATGTATATTGAGCATTCAACATAAACACCATAGTTGGCCTAAGAACAATCAGGTGATAGTTTTGTTGCTAAGCAAAGATGTATATTGTTGAGCATTACCAAAATAGGAGCGTGAAAGCATTCTTCACAGAGTGACAAAGGGAATAAGCTTTTTATAATTAGTGATATCTAGAAATGGGTGGAATGTTGGTGATCAATAGGGGAAATAAGAATGTCATGAAATATCTACATGTACTGTGAAGTAAGTTTTACAAATTGAACTTAATTTTAAAATTCTTACTTTACGCAATTTATACAAATAATGTTTTTTTTTCCAGGTTACACTTCATGAATAAAAAATTTTTTCTCTGGTAGTAGTTATTTTTAATCCAGTGTTGTTCATTGTGTAATAACATCCTAGTCAGCATTTCTGCATACTTGTTTATGATAGGTCCTGGTAATGAAGGCAGCTTGTGTCGATTGAAGAAACTGCGTGACACTTTACAGAATCCTTTGGTGAAGTATGTATTAATATTCAATAAATTCATTATTCATTGTTAGTACTGAAATTGTGTAAGAAAATATTGGTTTGACTGCTTAATATTTCAGGTAATAAGTAATTATAAAAAAAACTTATCTTTGAGTTTTATGTTTAATATGAAATTATTGGAAATATTACTGATTTGCAGAACTGGCTCTGTATCTAAGGTGCACTCCTGTTTTTACCCCCACCTATTTTGTTTATCAGTAGGAATTGTAACTATAAAAAAATATATTACAATGTCACTTATGATTTTATTAAATGCCAAAAACAATGGCTCAATCCAAGACAAAAACCACTTCTGACCCCAAAATCTGGACTCCATCTGCAGAAAGTGATGCTTTGCATTTGGTGGGTCATCAAAGGAGTAATTCATTTTAAACTCCTTAATCCACAGGGAATTGTCAATACAGAGATCTATAGTCAGCAACTGGAACATTTAAATCAATCCCTTCATTGGCAACACCCTTCACGTGTTAATCGGAATAGTGTTCTTCTTCTCCATGACAATACACATCCACATGTGGCACGTTTGACACAACACAAGGTTATGGAGTTGGGTTGGGAAGTTCTCTCCCAACCACCATATTCTCCAGATATGGCACCATCAGATTACCATCTTTTTTCATTTGCTGCAACACCATCTTAATGGAAAAATGTATGCAAATTTGGAAGGTGTTAAAAGGACATGGACGTGTTCTTTGCTTCAAAGCCAAGTGATTTCTTTAATCAGGGCATTAACAACCTGATTGTTAGATAGAAAATCATAATTGATAAGAATGGAGAATATTTCATATGATAAATGTTTTGATATATAAGTTGTTCGGGTTTTTTCATCCAAAAAAAAGCAACATTAATTTCTTGACCTAATAGTTTTATAATTCACTGGATGTTGCTTTTGCTGTCGTAATATTATTACAAGGCAATACTGGTGTAAACATTCCTCACTGCTTTGTTTAATCCCAAACTGCATAACTTCTTACCTATGAAATACCCCATAGCTGTTAACTAACAGAAATATTTAATTATATGAAAGAATGTCAGTATTTGTCTTCTTATCACAAGTGTCAAGTCATTTACTATAAATATTTTCTTGAAGATCCTTAATCAAAAATTGGTTTTGTAACAATATGTATTATATTTTAGACCACAAGTAGCAACTTTACAAAAATGTGGAGACCTACTGAAGAAGTTGCATGAGAAATTTGAACATGTAAGTGTGTGCATATGAAAATGTCTAATAAAACAAATATGAACAATTTTTATGCATAAGTTTACATTCTTTCCTCCCAGTCATGTGTTATTTCATTACATCATGAGTCATTATTGAAAATCAGATGATTTGTGTTAACTTTCTATACTGATTAGTTAACTCTTCCGACACGGGGTTGGTCAATTTTACTGAATTACGTGACCTTCTGTACTCATTTAAAATTGACATAAATTTAATACTTGTAACTCTCTATATATTGGATATATCTTCACTAAATTTGCAGTCTTTCAGTTAATATTACAAGTCTTTCACATACAAAAAGTCATATTTCTTAGTGGAGTACTTTTAATAAAATAAAGTTTTGTCCATGAATATATTGAGTATTTGTTTTGAATAGTCTGTGTGCAAAGTAATTTTCATGTTAAAATTAAAAATACTTTTCGTCATCTCAACCGTGTCTGACTGCTATTCACACCATTATAAGTTATAAATCACTCGGGGAATATGCAGCTCACATTATGCTATCGAATTACATTACCCACGAGCTGCTCGCATGCGTGCTTCGTGAACAATTTTAATTATATTATTATTATTACTTATTTTACCTATTCTAGTCTTAAATAACTTAAAAATAAATATGAAAAACAAGAAATAAAGTACTTACCCAATCTTCTTTTTTCTTGCCCTCGATTGTCGAGGAGAGTTAAGCCTGATTTTTTTA